TTTTTAAAACATTTTGAAGTTATGATATCTACTGGAACAACAAAGTCATGTTTGAACAAACCATAGTATAGAGCATAATTGTAATTTTCACAGACTATATAAACTGAATTATTTTTATGTCTAGCTTCATACTGTGTAAGGTTGTTTTCTGAATTAATTAGTCCTCCAATACATGTATATTTAAAAATGTGACAAAACAACTTTGCGCCTAAGGAGGTAATACGCTTAAAAAAAATTGTACTTACATATCTGAAAAGAGTTCAGGCTCATAGAATCACATATTTGTTGAGTTTGATAGCGGGCACAGCAGAATATGGTCCTCCAATGTCTATATGCTTTGGATCAATTTGCCAATAGCTTGAGTTATATTTTTACCATTGTATTCAGCATCCCTTGTATATTCATTGTAAACACTCACTATTACATCATTTACAAAGGCTTTAGGACTGATACCCCCTTCGCCATGTAAATGAAGACACCGGCTTAGAAGAGTCCGTGGAACAGTTTAACGTTAATTTAGAATCAACCATTTCTGCCGAGATGTTAACAAGTGTTTGGTGGAACTGTAATAGTAAAATTAAGTTGCATTTTTTTTAAATTGAACTCATATATACATTGTTTGACTGTTCCTAGTTTAAAGCAAGTCCTGTCAATAAAACAGATTCACGTCGCGAGTAATTTCCATCTCTAGTTTGTAATTTTAAGACAAGGGACGAGTATTTTATATGCCAAGTGTCGATTCCCCAAAATCAAAATGCAAATGTTTTATTTGTGTTCTTGCGATGGAAATATAATGCTTTGAGAGTAAATTGGATCTGAGGTGTCTGCCTCTCAACCCAGAGATCATTGGTTCGAGCCCTACTCGAGTCACGACAATGTTTCTTCATATGACACCAGTACCGGTTGGTTCCAGGAAGCGGACTCGCAAGTGATTGAAATTAGTTGCAAGAACTTGTTTCGCAATCGAGCTTAAATAAATATTGTTTAAACCAAATTGGATTTAAAGTAAGAAAAGAAGTATCATATACTTTATTTATGTGTACATTATTTTATTGAATAAGAATGTTTATTAATTTTATTCTTTTGGGTAAACATTACTTTGCTTATAAATGTCTTCCGGACTTAATACAGAACAGAAACACGGGTCAAATATTAGTAAATATTGACTAGTATAACCAAATTTGATAATAAATAATCCCTGTAACTGTTTATACACTTACATAAAAACTTTTACTTTGGATACATGATAAGATAGTCTGTCACATTCTTATATTTGAAATATACAGCTCATCTCTTTACCATTGTCCTCCTTGTAAACATGCATCACTGAGATAACTCTAGTACATTTCCTTTGTTTTTCTCGAAGCGGATCCTGTAAACAATTCTTCAATATATAAATCATATATCTGTGGTCGCTCCACCTAACCGGATAACTAACCAGTAAACTTACTTTTTCGTTGGTGAGCCAGTTACTAATCACACATGGTTATTGATTTTACAGTGAGAAGCAAATGACCATTATACACAATGGTTACGGAGAAATATCTGAGCGAGGCTCTAACTATTATATTTTTACTTACATCTTAGAGATATATGATAATCGAAATTTACATCCAAGAATATATACAAAAGATTGTATTCTAAAGTTCTTAACAAAAGAAACATGAATAACTAGACGAAGCGCTAAAACAAAATGGTCATGATCCTTTACTAAAACCATAAAATAGAAAGTAATGTATTGACTTTAGAAACAATCGACGTTTTGAGAATTGCATGTAGGGCGTTTGCTATAATGTAATTCTTTGTTTTATATTAGCATATCAAGCTTTCACTTCCATTACCGTTCATGATCAGACTCAACCAAATCAAGCCGTCAACATTTTTATTTTGGTTCTTAAGGATTTCATTTCTTTTTAAATATCGTCGCAATTTGGACTTTAACAAACATTAATTTTTATCTTACAATTTGAAAGCAAATGGACATAATAATCTTTAATAAATAATCTTATAAACTGAAAGCATTATATCAGAGGATCTAAATAAACAATTTTTGTAAATTGTATTTTTATGGCTAAAATAATGTATCACAGCCGTTATAATTATTTTAAAATCACTGCGTTCAGTTATTTACAAAAGTTGATATCCCTTATGATAAATGTCAATGTAAAAGTAAATTGTGTTACTTACAGCTTTGCACTCAGTAAATGTGGTAACCGAGTCGTGATTATCTTGTCCTTCTCTATAAGTAGTTATAATGTGCGGCACAATTTTACATGAAGGATTAGCGTAACACCTGCATGTTAAAATGGTTGTTGAGTTGTGAACGGTGGCTGTTGTAAAATGTGTCGAGGAGTGAAAATCTGAAAAAGTAAAGACAAATAAAATAGTTTGAAATCAGATTTGAAGGATGTTTTGTTATACTCTTGGTTTAGAATTACTTGTATTATGGTAAGTGTTAAATGTATATGTAATAATAATTTACAATGGGGTGTGATTAAATTGTAAAAATGTCGTCATTTCAATGATATCTATAAAGGTTAAGAACACAAAATATTGAATCTGAAAGGGTAGAACGTTTGCAAGAAGCCCATCTGTTATCGTCTAGAACTAGAATTCTGTCTAGAAAATAATATCAAACACAAGTGTGTCAATCATATACAAATTTCAAGAAACAAACCACATGTTAATCGTTAATTGTTTGCAATGAAGTCAACAAATACAAAAGTAAACGTTTTCTTAGCTAGACAAGAAATTGATTCGACGCGCATCCTTTATTAACTAACGCTCATAATTTCAAAATTTAGAGCTAGTAAAGTATAAGGCATTATAAACATTAAAATGATATTATACAGTAACACACTCACTTGTTTTATTTCACATGTATTTTATGCCAATATTATTATGTTAAAACGAAATCAGGTTTACTATTATTATCTCTATTTAAATTTGAAACTCGAAAATTAATTCCCATTAAATAAAAAAAGAAATCATCTTGACAAACATAATTCAAGATTATTTCGTTGTGTATAATGGTTATTTAGGGACTTCGTAGAATTACGTACATTGAACATCAACTTCCACAGTGTTATTGTCACCACTGTCGTCCGAGCATGTATAGTTCCCATCTTTTTTTAAACCCATTCTATTTATTTTAGATCTTTGCAAATTCCCCATGAAATGCCGGGTTCATTATTGTGTCCATTTTTAAATTTGGTTACCCAAATCCGTCGGGCCCAGAGGGGGGTTTTAAATTTAAGGGCATTGATGGCACGAAAATTTTCTCTAAAACTTTTTTATAGCAAAATTTGGGAAACCAAAAAATGATAAATCACATTTTAATTAAAAACGATTCGTTAATTAGTTTAAATTGGGAGTAAAAAAAAACAATATAAAATGTAATAACAAAAAAAAACATTATCAAAGCTTTTTCCTATATTTCAAAACTTTTTTTGGATTTTGGGATTTTAAAATTAAAATGGGAAAATAACATTATAAAAAAACTGACGATTTTTTTAACTAGCCTATTGTTTGAAGAGATTTCAGAAACCCTGGAAATTTAAAAAATCGTTGTTTTAAATATCGCTTACTGTTTGGAATTAAAACACTATTTACATACACAATAACCCAGTAATCTCCCGTCACTTTTGGGTCGGGGGGGGGGTAGTGGGGTAACCTTCTTCACCTCGAACAGGTGGGGTGGCGTGGTAAAAAGGGTAAATTAAACCTACTGGTTATTCCATAGTAATGCCACTTTTTGAAGCCATTGAATAGTTCTGTTTTTGCGCCAAAATGGCGGCGGATATTCAAACTCCCTGTTGTATTTAGGCGGGTTTTTACCATGATTGATTCCAAAACTGCATGAAAAGATTTTAAAACCATCTTAAGTGCCCCCTTTTCACCACGGGATGGAGAGATAGGCAGAACAACTGTAAAATATAGTCAATAAAGTAAGAAATGATCAGCTTGCTTTAAAATATCAAAGTACATACATTTGTTCTTAATGGAAAGGGTATGTTATTCCATAAAAAAATTATTTTAATATTTATTAATACCGTATCATTTTATAAAAAAAATTTAAAATTATTTATTTTGGGGATATGGAATATCAAATTTGTTTCATTTTTTTTGTTTTTAATTTTTGAAAAATTTTGAACAAGTTCCATTGCCCCCCAAATTCATTTAAAACCATTTGATTAAGAACATTTTTTGATATCTAAAAACTTTAAATTTTAGTGTTTAAACCCGCAAAATTTTTATAAATTATGCTAATATTGGGTGTTTTACCACAAAAAACCAACAATTATTTTCGTTTTCTTGTTTAAAAATGAGCTAAATTAAAATGAATTTTTTTAAAGGTTTTCATGAATTTTTATCATAATTTAAAAGGTATTGAAATTACTCAAAGAACTAAAAACGTTTTTTAATAGAAAAATTACTCAAAAGTACCCCAAACCCTTGGAAACTATCAACAGCCGCCAAAAAACCATCCGCCACATTACAACATTTTAGATTTATTATTCAAACGAATCTTCTCTAATAAAAGCTTTGCTGTACTTTTATTATCTTTTAAAACTTGTAAGTGAGATGATAGTGTATACTTCAAGCGTTCATTTAATTGTGTCCTGATTTAACTGTAAACATGTTTATGTGTTATCTTGTCGTTTTACATGTAAATAATTTTACTAATATCCGGTATTGCAACACAAAATATATCAAAATGTTGTTATCGTAAATAGTCGTAAAAGGTTTGTCATAAAAAAATGGGTTGGTCATACGCGGCAGGAATATTGATATTACGACCACTTAGGATTTCTACACATGTTTGTTTTATCATGTAAAACTTTCATGTGTAAAATTTTAAGTAACTATATACGGCGGAATGTTTCGTACACACAGTGCACTGATGGTAGTTAATAATAACGTGAACTTTCAACCAATTAGAGCGGAAAATTATTTTTTCTTGACTTATGATTTCGCTGAAAGACTCAAGCTAGCTTTAATACATACAAAAGAAATTTAAGCTAACATTAATATATATTTTTAAAATTTATTTCCAAATTGCAACTGTTTTTACATAACGGTAAAGTATACTCTTGCCATTTATAAACGCATTAAACTGGTAACAATTGCTATATATATATTAGAGAAAAGGAGACATATAATTAAGACTTCAAGTCGTTCTACATATTGCCAGTGCAGATGTTTAATTAAAAGAAAAAAAGAAAATTCATTTCTCCAAACAGAAACGTATAGAAAAAATTAAAGGCCAACAATGTCAGGCGACGTTTAAAGAACGTAAACCCCAACATAACCCAGCCACACCGTCGCGATACTCAGCAGGACACCGAACCTTCACAAGGGTGCTAACCAATAACTGTTGATCTTTTTTACTCTTGATTATATGCAGTAGTAAGTGCTGGAGATAAATTGTTCATTTCAGAAAATATTTAAAATTAGCATTATGAACTTTCATTTAAAAAGGAAAACACATTAAAATGATGTTTAATATCTGAGTATTACGAAGTTGTGTCAGACTTGTATAATATTTTACGTTAATTGTCTTATACTCTAAACGATAATTGTATATTAATGATTGAATTAATCGAATGCAAATTCATCTGAATGAACAACTTTATCTTTCCAACATCATTTAATGGATAATAAGAGAAAATGCATTACTCCTTTGGTAGGACATGCTCAAGGACTAGATCTGAAGTTCTGTCGAGGACACTACGTATTGCATTTGCTAAAAAAAATCCTGATTATGTTTTACCTGGGCTGTGATAAGCGGAGTGAAACAATTCTTTCGGGGGATCAATACATAATAATGTACAAACTAATTAAAAATACCACATACGTGTACTAGGGAATAACGCTGGCAAGTAGTTGATCAAACTGACTAAAAAAAACTATTTGTCCCTCACTGCCGTGGGTTCTAACGCCTCCAGTGGCTTTAGATGTTTTCATGCTAACTTGCTATCTTATTGAAGGTCGTAGTTCTTTCTACAGTACCCGTTCTCTCCCAAAATTATACACAGAGGGACACTTCAGGTGTACCTTAAAACTCGATTGAAAATGTCGTTGAATCCTCTCATTTTATGAGACTAAACAATGTTCTGTTTCTTACTGATAACATTCGTTTTTATTCGAAAATATTCATGCTGTTAAATTTTTATACTTTCTCTAGGGCATTTATGTGTGAACGATATGTGATCGTATATAGGAACAGTTTAGCATAAGCATCAGTCTCAGACTTATATCCTATTTCAAAATGTTTGTAAACTATGATTATAGTGAATTATAGATAAATGAGTATTCCGTGTATACTGTTAAGTTTATGCATTTTTTTTTAAAATTTATTTCGTTTATTTATTTATTTATTTTTTAATTTTATTTCATTATTGTTGGTTTTTTTGGTTTTTCAAATATATTGAGCATGGTTAAGTTATAAAAAACAACAATGAATGCATTGATTTTAATGTTATGCAAAAATATCACGTGAGTACGTAAATGACTTATTTAAATGTATCGTATTAAGACTTTACATATGAAAATGAACTATAAAAATGTCATTTAGAATTATTCTACATTATCTTGACAAAAAGACACTAATTAAAATCAATGTCCCTATTTGAGTTTAAAATTGGATACTGCTTAAGCCGGTGCTTAGATTGAGGGATATGTTGCCTTTTCCATAATCACTCTCAGTCTAAATCAAGTCGATTATGTAAATTCCACTCTTATACTTTTCTTTCAGTGTTTTTTTCTTCACCTTTTGTTTTTGATCTGCGTGGGGCAATACAATAGAAAGGACGATTCACGTTTTATTTTCTTTAATAAAGTTTAAATTATTTCATTTTTTAAACTATTTCATTTTTAACTGTATAAAATGTGGAACCCTCTCATTTTAGATAACACATACCAAGATTGTTTTGGGGAAAGACAGTATTTTAAACGGAAATAGAAAACGCTTGTTTGAGCCATTATGTATTCGTGCGGTATGACGAAAAAAAATGAGTATATTCCGCTAAAAATATTGTACTCGTATGTATAGGTTTCTTACTAGAATAAGGGTTCTCTACACTATTAAATATAATATTATTCAAACATGGACTTTTTAGGTGTTGAATATGATGTGATATGTGCTGTAAAAATTAACATTGACCGAGAGGATAGCTAAAAAGTACATATCTGTTGTATTATTTAATTTATAAATAGCTTTTATATGGCTTTTCAAATCTGCCATTGCATACGACGGATATCATTATTTTTTCAGCTTGTCCACTTTTCCTTAATTTGACCCTTTCTTTTAAATGAGCGCATTGGCATGCTAATCCCTATTGTTCTTAAAAATGTAAAGACTTAAATAGAATATAACTAAAATAGACTATTTTGACTCTTATTTACACATCACTCAACGTTTTTTTCAAGAAGAAAAAAAAGGTGAAAATCCTCTGACAATCTATTTTAGGAAAAAAACAGTGATATTGACCTGCTATTTTTTACAAAAAACTGCATGTTAGCCAATCAAGGAAAGGCATTTCAAAGCTATTTATAGATTATATAATAAACTAAAAATTGATCTTGACCAACTTTTTCACGACGAAGATCACAAAATGTCACGTTGTGTATTACATGTATCAAGTATAATAACATGAAATTTGGTTATATAACGGTATAGTTCTGGTTTGGTTTAGAGCAAAAAGGAATGAAATGTAGGTAAAAGTAAATATTCGTTACACAGATAAGCTAAGCAAATTCCAAGTTTAAACGGTAATGAGTGGCATATTTCACAAGAAGTCTTAACTATTCATAGACCGTCTATAGTTGTAGTTGTTTGAAAACTAATTTCTTCATGAACTAGTTCTTAAAGATGACTCTTTTTGTCATACAATTCCTATCTTAAAGATTTTTACATAACATTTGGAATAAACATATACTTTGAATGAAATTACAATAATGATAAACATTTGTGTTTGAGTTGTAATATTGTTTCATCTGTCTTTTTTCAATAAGTTATTGGTTTTGAAATTGAAACTTATCTAAGTAGAAGGAATATTTAATTGCAAATCATTATCCTCGATAACAATGAAAACAATGTTTTGTTTTTTTAAGTGAAATTTACAGGCTCTAATTTGATT